GGTGTGTGAGGGGCCAGGCGGGCTCTGGGTCTCCCGCAGGCAGTGAAACCGGGTGGGCGGTTGTTTTCCACGGAGCAGTGTCTCTCCGAGCTCCCCTCTGGCTCTCTGGCCTGTGTGGATGTGTAGGAGCAGCCCGGGGTGGAAATTGTAGAACTACAGAATGGTTTTGGGTGGGAAAAGACCTTTTAGATCATTGAGTCCAACAATAAACCCGGCAGTGCCCAGTGCATCGCTAAATTGTGGAATCCCAGACTGGTTTGGGTGGGAAGAGACCTTTAAAGCTCATCCAGTCCAACCACCTGCCAGCAGCAGGGACACCTTCAATCAATTCTCTTTGCTTTATCATGTGATATTCTTCTCTTTGGGGTTATCTTCTCAGTTCCCCACCTGGCTGTTTCATGGTGTCATGTTTTGTTAGTGACCTGTGAAAGTCTGGCTATTAACTTTTGTGGTTTTTTTTTTTTCCACATACCTTAAACAGAAGCTTTTTGAGCAGATTTTGTGTTTAAAAGCACTGACAAGTTTCTTTGTGGTGTGATCTCCTTGTCTCCAGCTCCAGAGGTGCTGGGCTCTGAGAAACTGGGACACGTGGCCTGAAGCAGGGACTGGTGGGGACCAAAAGGCCACTGGAGGGAGTTGGTGGCTGGAAATAGGAGAGAATAAGAAATGTTGGGAATGAGGAGCTGGTGCTTTCGGAGAACAGAGAATTTGATGGGGAGAAGAACTGACAGTGCTGGGCTGTCCTGCTTTGCAGGGGCAATTAACTGTTAATTGCTAAAGGTGGTGAAACTGTGAACGGCCAAAGCTTCTGCTCGGAAAGTTACTAGAAGAGGGTTTGTGATCTGAGACCTTTGCCAGCTACTGAGGTGTGAGAAAGGGCTTTGAAAAGGGAGAAAACTGTCATCTGTGCCTGCTGATCACAGGATCCCAGGCTGGTCTGGGTGGGAAGGGACCTGAGAGCTCATCCAGTCCCAACCCCCCTGCCATCAGCAGGGACACCTTCCACTAGACCAGGTTGCTCAAAGCCTCATCCAACCTGGCCTTGAACACTTCCAGGGAGGAGCAGCCACAGCTTCTCTGGCCAACCTGGGACACTGTCTCACCACCCTCACACCAAAGAATTTCTTCCTCACATCTCATCTCCATCTCCCCTCTGACACTTTCAAGCCATCACCCCTTGTTCTGTCACTCCCTGCCCTTGGCCAAAGTCCCTCCCCAGCCTTCCTGGAGCCCCTTCAGGTACTGGGAGGCCACTAGAAGGTCTCCCTGGAGCCTTCTCTTCTCCAGGCTGAACAAGCCCAGCTCCCTCAGCCTTTCTCCAGCAGAGATGTGCTCCAGCCCTCTGACCATCTTCCTGGTTCTCCTCTGGCCCCGCTCCAACAGCTCCACATCGTTCTTGTTCTGGGGGCTCCAGGCCTGGTTTTCCAGCTGGGGCCTCCCAAGGGCAGAGCAGAGGGGACAATTCCCCCCCCACCCCCCCGTTGCTGCAGCCCAGGACACGGTTGGCATTCGGGGCTGCGGTCCCGCTCTGTCCCCACGTCCTGGCGGGTGTTTCGGGGGCGGTTGCAGGCTGTGGAGCCGGGTGACCCCCGCTCAGGATGACCCGTTATCGCTCCAGCTGGGGAAGGTTGAGCTGCTCCTGTCCCTCTGCACCTGAACGCCCCATCGTCTCGTGGGTCTGTCCCGCTCGTGTTCTCTCTGCAGTTCAGTGATCAGTGACGTTCCCTTTGCTTCTCTTCCCAGATGAAGCTCCCGGTTCTCACCGTGTTTGCCCTGGTGGCCCTGGCGCGCTGCGAGGAGGGCGCCAGGCTCCTGGCCTCCAAGTCTCTCCTGAACAGATACGCGGTGGAGGGCAGGGACTTGACTTTGCAGTACAACATCTACAACGTCGGCTCCAGGCAAGTCCTGTCCCAGCTCCTAACACTGGCCTGTGTGTGTGTGTGTGTGTGTGTCTGTGTGTGTGTGTGTGTGTGTGTGTGTGTGTGTGTGTCTGTGTGTGTGTGTGTGTGTGTGTGTGTGTGTGTGTGTCTGTGTGTGTGTCTGTGTGTGTGTGTGTGTGTGTGTGTGTCTGTCTGTGTGTGTGTCTGTGTGTGTGTGTGTCTGTCCGTCGGTGTCTGTCCGTCGGTGTCTGTCCGTCGGTGTCTGTCCGTCGGTGTCTGTCCGTCGGTGTCTGTCCGTCGGTGTGTGTCCATGGGGTATTTCAGTGTTTCTTGGCTCCGTGATGTGCTGTTTCCTCTGCTCCCCCTGACTCCACCCTTCCCAGCTGTGCTCCAAGGTTGGACTCCACGATTTCCCTTTCCCTTCCTGTTCTGTTGTCTCTGTTTCACCGTTTCCTGCTTTCCCCCTGTGGCTGCTCTCGCCATGAGCCGGCGCAGTGTAGTTAATTCTGCGCCTCGTCACGCTGCTCCCCACGCACACAGCCTCCCTCTCGTGCTTTCCTGAGCTCTCTCTCACAGCTGATTTCCCATCTCTTTTGCAGTTTTTCTCAGCTTTGCCGCCTTCTTTCTTAAGTCTCCTTCTAATGCACCTTGACCCTCCTCCCCACCTTCTGTTGGCACCTTTTTGTGTTTCAGAAATCAGTTTTTCAAGCATGGAGCTGTCATCCCTCCTGGGTGCAGCCGAATGCCAAGCCTGAGGTTCTCATCTCACCCCTCTCTGTGTTCCGTTCAGTGCTGCTCTGGATGTGGAGCTGTCGGATGATTCCTTCCCCCCGGAAGATTTTGGCATTGTCTCTGGGATGCTCAACGTCAAGTGGGACAGGATTGCTCCGTATCTTTCCATGTTTGGAAATTCCTCCCATCCCCAAGCACCGTGCAGCTCTCCTGTCCTCATTCGTTGTCACTGAAATTCCAGGATGCCAGACCCTGGGCAGGGAACAGGGGAGATGGAGATGAGATGTGAGGAGGAAATTCTTTGGTGTGAGGGTGGTGAGACAGTGTCCCAGGTTGGCCAGAGAAGCTGTGGCTGCTCCTCCCTGGAAGTGTTCTCGGCCAGGTTGGATGAGGCTTTGAGCAACCTGGTCTAGTGGAAGGTGTCCCTGCTGCTGGCAGGGGGGTTGGAACTGGATGAGCTTTGAGGTCCCTCCCAACCCAAACCAGTCTGGGATTTGATGATCTCCCTGGGAGCAGCTGGATCAGCCCCGGATGGGTCTGGGTGTCTGTGACCACAGATCTGTCATCGGGAGCGACTTCTCCACCTGCTTTGAGGCTCTTTGCCCATCTCCTCACTTTTCTTTGGTGAAATACAGCTGTTTTCCTTAACCTGGGGCTCTCAGAGCAAGTAACGTGTCCCACACGGTGGTTCTGCGGCCTCTCAAAGCCGGTTACTTCAACTTCACCTCTGCCACCATCACGTACCTGGCACAGGAGGGAGGGCAGGTTGTGGTGAGTTCACCATTTCTGGGATTTTTGCTCAGATCAGATCCACCCTGTGCTCTTGGAGCTGCGTGTTGGGGGATGAGGCAGGTCCCTGCGCTCTGACCCTGGCCGGCCTCTGTGGCAAGAAGGAAACGTGGCAAATACGATCTCTTCCCCCCCTTTCTCAGGTTGGTTTCACGAGTGCTCCTGGGCAGGGAGGGATCCTGGCTCAGCGTGAGTTTGACCGAAGGTTCTCCCCTCACTTTGTAAGTACCTTTGAGGTGGTGATTGAGATCATCACCCAGTTTGTGTTGGGTTTGTACTGGTTTGTACACCTGGAAAACTCCAGCATGGATTGAAGTTGATCCCTATCAATTGTCCAGGAAAGAATTGCAGACAGAGCAGAGTTCTCATCCCAGCTCCCTCCGTGAAGGAGCTGGTGCTGTGGGGTTTGGGTCAGAAGCTTCGAGGGTAGAAGATGTGATGGTTGAGACTGGTCTGCACGTGGTTTGTTTTGACTTGTCACAATTTCTCCTTCTAGCTGGACTGGGCAGCTTTCGGGGTGATGACTCTGCCCTCCATCGGGATCCCGCTGCTGCTGTGGTACTCGAGCAAGAGGAAGTATGACACCCCCAAGACCAAAAAGAACTGAGCAAAGTCAAATGTCACCAGCACCCCGAGAGCTCAGGCAGGAACAGACCTTAAACCAGAACAGCAGGTGTGTTGGGGTCACAACAGTCCCCCCTGCAGAGCCCGGCCTGGGCGGTGCCATCGGCAAGAGGGAGTCGATTCCCTCCATGGCAGTGATGTGTCTGCTCTCATTGGAAAAAGAAACAAGCAAACAAGAAACCACCCCACAATGAAAATGCCAAACCCCACAGTGCCTGCGTGTGGGGAGCAGGGACAGCTGGAGCTGTGGTGGGAGCAGGGACCCTCCGCTCCTGGGCAGACGTCATGTGTCCGAGTGTGGTGACGCCTGGAGGAGCTGCCTTGTGGCGGGCACAGCTCCACGGTGTTTCCCCTGTCTGCGGTGCCACCCAGCCCCCCTGCAGCCAAACAGCTCCCTGCCCCCTGCAGCCTTCCCTTCCCCCACACCTCACCCCTCCGGGCCTCCCTTCCCCAGCACCTCACCCCTCCTGGCCTCTCCTCCAAGCGCTGCCCCCCTGCTGAAGCGTCGGGGAGAAGGAGCTGGTGCTCGGGCCAAAGCCAGGTCTCCTTTGGTAGATTCTTCTCTGCTGGGTGTGACAGGGGGGTCCCCGCCGATGCTGGTTCTCCAGGAAGCCCCGTTGTGGTTTGGGGAGCAGCTCACTGCTGGGTCTGTTCTCTCTGGTTGCTCTGTTGAGGGGTGCTGAGGTACTCGGGGATTTTGTAATAAAATGAACATCATGAAAGAGTCACAGAATCATCGAATGTTGTGATTTGGACCCACCAAAATGATGGAGTCCAACTCCTGTCCCTGCACAGGACAATCCCAACACTCAGCCCATGTCCCTGAGGGCCTTGGCCAAATGCTGCTGGAATCTTGTCAGGCTTGGTGCCATGAGCACCTCCCTGGGGAGCCTGTTCCAGTGCTCCACCACCCTCTGCCTCAAGAACCTTTTCCTCATGGCCAACCTCCCCCTCCCCTGCCACATCTTCCTGCCATGTCCTAGGTGTACATTTGCAGTTCCCCAGCCCCTCGGTGAAGAAGTGGAGCTGCAACGGGCCGTGTTTCCCTGATTAAGAGGCTGTTCCTAATGAGCAGCCACCCACTGCTGAACTGGGTTCCAGTTTCAAACACTGAGTTCTTACCTCCTCAACCAGGACCCCGGGGAGGTGTAGAAGCAAAGTCAATGTTTGATCTAACCAACCAGCTGCTTTTATTTTTACCAGGAGGTCTTGGAGGCACCTTCAGAAGCAGCTAATGGGTGTAGAGTCAGGAAAATAAATCGCTATGGATAAAATAAAGGAAGAGGGAAGGAGGGGCCTGGGAGGCCGGGGGGGTGGAGCTGCTCTGCTGCCCACTCCCTGCGCGGGGTGGGATGTCGCAGCCATCGGTCGGTGCCGCTCCGGCTGCGCCTTGGGCCTCGCTTTGTGCTTTAGGGAGGTGGTGGGAGGTGGTTGATTCCTGCCCCGAGCTTTGGGCCGGGAGGCAGCGGCCGGGCACAG